GAGGAGCTCGACTCGAGAGGGGACTATATTCATCCACTTAAAAACACTCCTACTGTCCCAAGACTTAGGGTGAGCCCCCGACCTGTCACACATCGCACCCGCCGCGATGCAACGAATTTTACCGAACAACGCAACATCAAGCTGGGCCTCCTGGGTTTCCGTGAGGAGATACGGGGTGAGGCCAGACAGTAGCGCACCTTGCACAACAGATATGAATACAAGGCGTTTCACCTTAAATGGGGGCCCCCGAAGGCCACAAATATTTAAAAGAGAGCCACCCTCGGTTGGCAGCCTGTTTGCTCAAGTGCATCTGGTGAGAGAACGCACCACTCGGGAGAAACTGAGGGCCAATATATCGCGTGTGGGGGGCGACTCTGGCGCCGCCGACCTGAGCAGAGTAAAACTGACGATTAGCATTATATCCGCAGAGGCGAGGGACCAGGACCTGCTTTTTAGTGTTCTGGCGGTAGCCGAACCCTTCCAAATGCGCCCCGAGGGAGGCCTGGGGGGCCTGAGTACACACCACAGCTTCCGCCAGGGACCCCGAGGCCAGGAGCAAAAAATAAGCGAGGTCGTCCACGTACTTAAAAAGGCCTCCATACACTTTCTCATCGAATAGCGAGCAGCGAGCAACCAGAAAGGGGTCTTCGCACTCCTCGAGCCACTTACCCAACGGCCGAGCGAAGTCGACTCGAAATTCGTCGGGGGCGCAAGGATCCCCCATGAGGGCCCCACTTTGGAGGTGAAGGTGTGCAAGTGAGTCCACGCCGTCTATGTGTAAGATGCGCGTGGTGCGCCTGTCAGCAAGCAGTTCGGCATCCGCCGACGCCGACGACGTGGGATGCAGCCGTGGTCGAACACAGCCGGGGCTCCGCGAGGCGCGGAGGAGTAGACGCCTCGAGCGATCGCCCTGAAAAAAGGGGCAGAGGCCATGCAAGAAACGGGTGCCGCCATCTGGCTTGGGAGTCTGCCATCCGATCGAGAACCCCGCACACGTGGGAAACCGCCCACACACCCTCCAGCACGTGGCGAGACTCCCCAGTCCATCAATGATAAAACTCACCTCAGGGGGGTCGGGTTTGGCTCCCAGACCGAAGGGGGTGGGGCGAGGCTTACTGTAGTAGCCAGGCTTAGGCTTAATTAGCATGAGCCAGATCTCCCCAGGCAAGGACCATGGCGGGGCCGATCGGCGTCGACAAGCGCGGCGCAGCACCCACGAGGCCCTGTGTAAGTCCCTCCCCCCACGCACCTCCGCCGAGTCCCGAGCTAGCACGCCTCGTGGGGCCAGCGAGGCCCGCGTTTTTAAAAAGTCGGCCAGAGAAGCCCTAGTCGCCGAGAGACCGCCTTGGTTGCCAGGGAGCCCCAGGGCACACGCGAGTTCATCTGCCGATGCGCGGTGACAGCGCACCGCCGAGTAATTACGGCGCTTCGGGCCGAGGCCCGTCCCAGAGAGACGGCGACAGAAGTATTGCACATTGGCTAGATCCCGTCGCCTCCAGGCGTCGTGCAGGCCTTCAGTCCAGGTACGCCTGAGTGACCTCGACCAGCGCCTGACCACCCACTTGATACGGTTCGTGTAGTCGCGGATTTGGGAGTAGTAGAACACGTGGGGCTCGCTCAGCTCGCGCAAGCGCTCCCGATGCCGAAGGAGCTGTCGAACAAGAACTCGATGCTCAGCCAGCGCCGCCCCAGGTGCTCTGCGTGCCCGCCCGAAGTGTTTCTTAGCAATAGGCATGAGAGTGTCGAGCAGGGTGCGGTAGCCGTCGTCGATGCAATTGGATTCGAAGTAGCCAAGGTACGAAGGTGCTTGAACTCGCATGGCATCGTTCAGCTCTTTCAAGAAATCCTCACGAAGTCCAGGAGTCTGCAATGCCGTCTCAATCGCATCAAAGTTCCACGCCATGGCAGCCGTGCCGTTCTGCAAGCTGGGCACCCCAACATCAGCCTCCAGCAGGAGGGGCGCGTGATCGCGCAAGGTGCCCTGACTGGGGAAAAGCTGCAAGACACGGGCTGCCTTCGTCATAGTCAGCAACTTACTGATACGAGGCAGAAGGCCAGTCGGTACAACAAAGTGGTCGATGTACGTGGCACTCTTCTCGCCGTAGAAGGTCGGCGAGATCCTATGAAAGGTGGTGGCACAGCCCAAGAAGTGACGGTGCATCAGCTCGCGCAAGCTGCGCGACGCGTAGCCCATGCGGTCCTGCACGAACGGGCCGATGCACTGGTAGCTGTCAGTGGTGTCGTCCACCGCGAACGAGTCGTTCAAATCAGCGAAGATCAGCGGGGTCGACCTCTCGGGCGTGGCGTCCAGCTGCGCACTCAGCCATTCCATAAGCACGTCCACGGTGCGCCGCCAGGACGCCTGAGTGCCACGTGGGCCAGGCGGCGGAAAATACAGAGCCACAGTCGTGAGGTCCACCGAGCCTGAAGTGACGCGAGCGAGGCCCGCGCGTCCAAGTGCAGCAGGTGGCCCAGGGACGACCCGATGGACACGAGTGGCAAGGTCACGTCGCCGTAGCCCAATGCTCACGCCAGCAGAGCGGTTGGTGAAGGGGCCGCGGCCGTACCCAAAGTGAAGATACTCGTGGTCCCCAGCGGTCTGGCGACGAACCGCAACATCAGGCTGAGCTCGCAATCGAGTGCCGACCAGCGCATGAACAGGGTAGTGCTTCCCGAACGTGGCGATCTCCTCAAGGCGCCTCGGCTGCACCAGTGAACAAACGCTGAAGCCGAAGAATTTGCACCGCATGGGACCTGCTCAAGGTCCGACGACGAGGTCCATCAGCGCATGGGCCCCGCTCGATCTCCAAGTGTCGGCTGATCAGCCGTCCGCGGGGACCGCTTCAGTGGGCCCACAGGAAGGCGGCTCGACACAGAAAAGGGCTGGAGGAGGAGGAGGAGGAGGAGGACGAGGAAGAGGAGGAGCAGCACCAGAAGCACGGCAAGACAAAACAAGTCACGATTCGGACCCAACCTGTCGTCAAATGAATAGCTACTCGTACTATAAGCCGCGTGGTATACTGGGTCTATCGAGGGCAAGCGCCATTCACTCGCAGGAGGGCACGCGTCACAAAACGCACTTGCCTTGCATGCCAAATCCCGCACTTTGTCGGGCTTGGCGCCTACGGGCATTCGGAAACGGAAGTCGATTCGCAGTGCTCCTCAGTCCTTTGCCTTTGCTTCGACTTGGGGGTGCTGAGCATGCAGTCGCCGTCGAGCGGCTCCCTGTGCTGCTGCTCAGGCTGGCCCTCACGAGGCGCAGCCGCGATCCCTCCCCAGTCTCGCGGTCCATCTCGTCGGTCGACGGTGAGCTCGAGCTCTGGAGTTACGGCTACGACGAGCCTTCTTCGGGTAGACCAGCTTCGTGAGCGCCCGCTGCACGGCCCCCCCGAGCGGCGGTATCTCCCTGAGGGAGGGGTTGCGTCAGCCCGTGCAAGCAAGGGCGACGGCGAGGAACAGGTATGAGGGGCAACTATAGGAGGGGATAGGCGTAGGGGGGGAACATCGACCTGGCATGGGCGTTACATCGCCGATAGATTGGCGATAGGCCCCCGATAGCGAATTCGCACCTTCCTGGGCAGGTTGCGCTATCGAACCCCTATCGGCGTTTCATGGGCGATTGGGGGTCGTTGCATCCCCCACCTATGCCAGCCCCCCCCCCTGTCGTTGTCGGCGATTTCGAAGGGTATGGTTTGCAAAAGGTGTGGTTTACAACCGGCACCCTGGGGGACACCCTGGGGGACGGGCGGGGACCTCGATCGCGCTTCTCTGCCGCGCCTCGCGGATGCTTGACGAGGACGGTGCCGTGCCCCCGGGCCCCAACGGCGCTGATCGCAACCACACCCTGGCGCAACAGCACCCCTTGTGGTCGCCGACTTGGCTCCTGCAGGTGGAGGCTGCCCCCGTGCGCCCGGCGGCGGCGCCCGCCGCCTGCCGCCGCCGGTGCCCCGCGCCAGCGCCCTGGCCAGGCCGGCAGCGGCCAGGCCTGGCCAGCGGCAGGCCACGGGCGACGCCCTACGAGGAGGAGGAGGAGGAGGCGGAGGAGGAGGAGGCGGAGGAGGAGGAGGCGGAGGAGGAGGAGGAGGAGGAGGGAGGAGGGAGGAGGAGGAGGGAGGAGAAGGGAGGAGGAGGAGGGGGGAGGACAAGCTAGGTGCGCTAGCGTCATATCTGACATCCTACCCCTCCCTCCCATCCCTTACCATGGCGCAGATCCCCTCTCTACTCGCTCAGTCGGATGTCGAGCAGGGCAATGATGGGTACGCGATGCATTGTAGAGCACGGCATGGCATGGCGTAGAAGAGCACCGCAAAGCGTAGTATCAACCTAGCATTGCAGTGCATGCCGTGGCATGGCACGGGAAATGACGCCAACGCTGCAGCGGGAGCAGGAGTCGAAACGAGCGGAAGCGCGGAAATGAGGCCAGCGCTGCAGCGGGAGCACGATTCGGAACGAGCGGGGCCCGAAAATGAGGCCGGCGCCTCAGCGAGAGCAGCATTTTGAAAAAATGCAAGCGAAAACCCAACTCCTGGGAAACCTGTGAAAAAAAACAATACGCGGGGGGGGGGGGGTCGGACACTCCCAGGCCGTCATCAGGGGAAGAGGGAGAGTATTATTCATATTGAGTAATTGTGGAGTGAGGAGTGAGGAGAAGGATGAGGATGAGGAGGAGGACAAGTAGGGAGGAGGAGGTGGCAGGTAAGCTCCCCCCCGATCGGAAGAGCTGGCCAGATCAGTGGACTAGGCCACCTCCCGTCGCGGCCTCAGGCTTCAGCTCGCGCCCTCAAGTTCCTGAGGTAGCAAAATCTGGATGAACTTAGCCAATCCCCCGATTTTTTCTCGGAGGCCCTAATTGGAACCACCTCCGCAGGCAGGCAAGAGGCAAGAGGATGATAAAAAGGAGAAGAGGAAGGAGGAGGAGGAGGAGGAGGAGGAGGAGGACGACGACGACGAGGGCGATGAGCCCCCCGCCGCGGCGGCGCAAGCGGGCGGCGCGGGGGGTCCACTGCCACTTCTTCTCCACGATGTCCCGCGAGCGCCTCCCTGAGCGCCCGCGGGGGCTTCTTCCAAGTGAGTCCTCCGCCCGGGCCGCACGCCGCGGCGTGGGTGCTGGGCTTGTTTTCCACAGCCACCACCATAAGTCAGTAGGAGGGGGAGGGGGTACTCCTCTTCCTCCTCCTCCTCCTCCTCCTCCTCCTCCTCCTCCTCCTCCTCCTCCTCCTCCTCCTCCATCCACACTCCAACACTGGTGGTGGTGGTGGGGAACAGGCCCATCAGTGGGGGTGGGGTCGGGGGCAAAACCCTTGATAGCGTGGCGTCGCAGTCTGCTCGAGCCGGGCGTCTTCGCCCAGCTTCGGGCCCCGTGACCCTCACAGATCGCTGCGGCCCGGCGGCATGCAGCAGGACGAGGGGGCCTTGAGCTCGCCGATCGTGATTGTTCGCAAGGGGGTGCTCTTGTCGCGACGTCGGACTTCGGGCGTGGGGATGGGGGAGGGGGGGGGAGACAGAGCGGGCGAGCGGCAGGGGGGGGGGCGGGGGGCGGAGGGCGGTGTGGGGGAGGAGGACCGGAGGGCCTCCTCCTCCTCCTCCTCCTCCTCCCTCCTCCCTCCTCCCTCCTCCCACCCCTCCCACCTCCTCCCCCCCCGAGGGGCGGATGGGGACAGGGGGGGGGGAGGAGCGAGGGGGGGAGGGGGCGCTGGAGGACGGGGGGAGGGGGGGGGGGGGGAGGAGGGGGGGCGGCGGGATCGCAGTCGGACCTGACCCGCTGCGGCTCGCTCGCCGAGAGCCGCGTCCTCCCCCCCTCCGAGAGCGGGGCCCCCGGGGCCGCGGGGAGGAGGCGGAGGAGCAGGCGGAGGAGGAGGAGGAGGGAAACGAGGAGGAGGAGGAGGAGGAGGAGGAGGAGGAGGAGGAGGAGGAGGAGGAAGGGGGTGATGCGCACAGGAAGGGGCCCGGGAGGAGGACTGGAGGAGGGGAAGGCATCGGGAAGACGGGGCCTCGACATTCCCGCCCCGGCGGGCGGACGAATTCCTGGCGCGAGGGGGGCCAAACGCATAGCTCCAGTGGCAGCCCGGATTGTAAATATTTATCATCTGCCTCTCCTTATGTTTCTTTCTCTCTCTGTCTCTGTCTCTCCATGTGTCTCTATGCTTCCCTCTCTCTCTATCTGTGTTTGTTTACGAACGTGTACATCGAATCATCTACTTATGTTTGTTTTTTTCTATATATATATATATGTATATATGTATGCATCTTTATATGTATATGTATCAATCTCCCTTGATATCTCCCTCCCTATATCTCCGACGCTGCCTCTCCCTCTCTCTATGTCTCTTTGCTTACCTCTCTATATATACATATATACATATATAGAGAAGTAGATCTACATCTCTCTCTCTCTCTCTCTCTTCCTGGGTCTATCGCTCGCCCTCTCTCTTCCCCATTCGGTGTGTCTGTGTGTATTCCTGTCTCTGGGCCAGGTGGGCGCACCCCTCGTCGGCGCGGAGCGAGGGGGGGGGGAGCGGGGAGGAGGATGCCTACCCAGAGGGCGGCGGGTCTCAACAGGAGCTCTCCGGCCTTCTGACTTGCTGCCTGCGTCTTCGGGCAAGGCCTCCAAAAGAACTCGGAAGGCCCGCGGGCTTCGGGGCCTCCTCTGAGAGGGCCCGCCCCCTCCCACTCCCCCCCCCCCCCCCCGAGGGCACGCCGCCGCTCTCGGGCTCCACGGCCTGCCAAGATACTTACACGTCGTCCATGGCTGCTCGTGCTCGTTTCTGGTTGTGCTCGTGTCTCACTGTTCCTGGCCCCCTGGTGGCCAGGAAGAGGCCCAGGATAGAACAATCAGAAACGAAAGGATCTTGGCCCCCCAAAAAATCACAGAACTTTCAAACAATTAGACATGAACAATGTGTATACCTGCGAGCGTCAACAATTCCCCGTGCGAGCGTGCAAACTGCTCGGACTTGTGCTCTCGCTCCAGCCGCCGGCTCTGCCTCGCGGACTGGGAGCCATCGCCGAGGCGCGGAAGGCCGGCAGCACGGGCTTTTGGAGGCATCCGGCTTCCTGGACGGACTCGCGGATCAGACTTCGGTGGCGAGCCCAGGGGGGGAAAAAGAGAAGGGGGCATGACATCTCAGAAGGAGAATGTTTTTTTTGATTCGCGCAAGTTTACCTGCATGGCGCTCGCCGCCCCCCCCGCCCCCCCCCCTCGCCCCTCTTCGAACGAAAACTAGCGCGCAAGAGCCCCTCGACATGCGTGACCTCCGCGCACGTGTAAGTCCTTTGCGGCCTGCTTCAGATTCAGCCCCCTGGAGTCTAAACAACAGGCTCAAGGCGGGGGGCTTCTAAGAAGCCCTCTGGCCTGCTTAGAACCCAAAGCTGTTCGAATAACCAAAACAATTCTCTTAGAACACGAACCCGATGTGCTAAAAAAGAAAAAGTCTCAGCCAAAAATCTTCGAAGAACATTTCTTGCCGACCACAACATGTTCTTATGGAGTCCCGGAACGGTGCGGTGACAAACCGTGGGGTGACCTCGAAATCCCCCAAGACCTCACCGCACGGTCCGTCAACGCAGGGTTTTGGGACCTCGGATGCCCCAATCGCCCGCGACGTCCTCGGAGAACGACCCGAGTCCCAAAGCCGTGCGGTGACCCCGATTCCCCACCGACTCACCACTCGGTGTGATCACCACCCCGCTTGGGGCCCCCCGAAAAATGTCCTAAGAACTGAAACAATGTTCTTAGAACATGAACCCGATGTGTCAAAACACGACCGTCTCAGCCAGAAGTGTTCTAAGAACATTTCTTGCCGACCACAAAGAGGTTCTCAGGACATCTGTTTGTGGGCCTGCAGGCGAGCCAGGACGCTTCGCCACTGCCCGATATCCCCGGAGGAGTGCTCGGCGAGCCTCCCCCGAGAGAAGGCCCGCTGCCCCCCTCGCTTCCCCCGTGGGTTCTCGCCGCTGAAGGACTGCACTCTCGCTGGAGCTCTGGTCGCACCCCACTCGGGGAAGCGCAAGATTAGGTCGGGTATGTCCCCCTACCGGCGGATTATGGACGAGAAATGAAAAATACTCCAACCATGCTCAGAGAATGCTCTCAGAAATAATCAAAACATCGTTCCCAGAATATGTTGTTTGACTATTTTTGCATATTCCCCCTGTAGAGGGACAGGCCCGACTTAAACGTAAGACTCGGGTACGGGGGACTCGGGTTCGCCTGACGGGGCCATCGTGAAAATGACGAGACCCAGTCCGAAATTCGGCGCGACCTCCCGCTGCAAACATCCCACGAACACCGGACCGTCAAAATCCAGGACGCGCTCGTCAAAAAGCGTCGGCAAACCCGAGTTACGGCTTACTCGAGACTTACCTTTCCATGAGAGAAGTAAGTAAGAAACATGAGGTAGGAAGGCGTTGGAAGTGGATTATGTCTCCGCCCGCCCCCTGAAGAGGAGGGAAGGAGGGGAAGCCGCCACTCCATCATTGAAGTAGGAAGGCGCCTGCAGCAGATTGGGATCCTGGGGATCTCAAAAGACGTACTTTTCAAATCGGAGATCGAATACATAATTTATCTATACCCCCCAAAATTGGAATTCCCGGCGAACTGGCGACATTTCTGCAGAATGTTCGAAGATCTCTACGAACAGTATGCATCTTCTTCTCGTAACTTCGATAAAAAAAACTATTTCGGGATAAATCAGCTCTGTAGTCGACCTCCGACTCGAACTTTCAACGACCGATGGGTATTGCGCTTTCGCCCCACCGCCCCGGCTGCACAGACGACCGCCCGTCTGCTGCCACCCAGAGAATACCAAGAGGGGAGACTGCTTCGACCCACGGCTGCCCATTTTTTCTCGGTCACGCCAACGCCCTGCGTTGTGCTCCGACTCCCCACTCAGGGTTGGAAGCTGGGCGAGGGCTGGCAAATCCGTGGCTGCTAGAACGGTCTCCCCGGAAGAACAAAAATCCCGGAATCAAGCTCACCGCACTGAATAGTAAATGGGCTGCTTCCCGGAGGAAAAAACATTTTCCCGGAGCTCCGTTTTAGCAGCCAAGGGTTTGCCAGCCGTCGCCCAGCGGTTTGCCAGCCGTCGCCCAGCTTCTGACAGTGGGTCCGTACTGCATGCACATGCAGAGCATCCGATGGCCACGAGCTGGATGCCCATGCAAAGGGCAGGCGTGCTCGGTCACAGAGGGACCGAAACGACATCTGGTCACACGCGTCTCCATCTACCGCCCGGGCCGACCGCGCAAGGTGTACTGTCGGCCCGTATCAGAAGGATGCGCGATAAGGATGCAAGGGCCTTGGATACCCACTTCGAAGCTGTTCGAGCGGAGCGCGGCCAACGAAAGTGGCCAAGGATGGGCCGAGGAGGCAAGGATGCAAGGGTTCCCTTGGGAAGGCTGCCCATCCTTACGATGCGGGTTGACTGTACTTCTCCAGCTCCCTGCTGCTGCAGAGCTCGAGGTGGACGCGAAACGCACACGCTCATCGTGCCACTGACTGCTGCAGCGCCTCGTGACGCACTGAAGCCGCGCTGCAATGCCCTCTTCTCCTGCCGTGAAAACAGGGCTAGGATCGCGATAAGTCGCTCCAGAGCGTTCCGGAGCGCTCTCAGAGCGTCCCGGAACGCTCTGGAGCGGCCGCGGCGCCCAATACATCCTCCAAACCCGCCGACTCTCAGAGATTTCGAGTTATCCCGATCCGATTTTGTCCCGATCTTCGCGTCGTCCGAGCCCCGCCCGCCCGCGGCGGCGCCCGCTGCTCCTCCAAACGCCCCCCTGGCCTCGGACCCGTTGTGCCCTGGGCGGCCCCGCCCGTGGAGCCGAGGTGCCCACCCGCCGGCCAGGCCCGGGGCAGACGCGGGCCCTCCGATTTTGTCCCGATCTTCGCGTCGTTTTAGCCGTGGCTCCCGAACCGGAAACATAACCCGCAGCCATGGCCTCGCGCGCCCGGCACCTGCGCTACGACCCCCGTGGACACCGGGCGGCTCCTCTCGAGGCTGCCCCCCCGCGCGGCGCGGAGCCACGCGGCCGTGCATCCGCGGGGCCGCCCTCCCCGGAGTCCAGGTCGGGCAGGCGCGGACGCGGACGTGGGCATGCTCGCTGCCCGTGAGAGGTGGCGTAAAGCCTCCAAGGAAAGGCCGTCCCACGGTCCTCAACTCTCCGTGACCGCCCCCAAGATTCAACCGCCCTGCTCCCCCACGTCTTGACATGCACACTTGGAAGGCCATGCTGTGCCTACCCCCGCGCCACGGGTCCTGGTGCGTGGGAGGCTTGAGGGCAGGCACGATGGCGGTCTTCTCCTTGGATGCCTCACCGCTGCAAACATAAATTCCGCAATCTTGGCCAATACAAGCAACGGTGACAAAAAACGAAAAGTCACAGATGCCAAAATCGTGATCGGGTTCCCTGTTCACGCAGGTCTGCCAATCTAGAGTGCCAACCCGCCCTGCACGAGTTCATGTCAACCAGGTCTGCCAACGAGTCGGGCCAAACTTTGTCCTCCGCTGGCGAAGTGACACACTGCGCAAACATATGATTTGGGCGCTCCGCGCGGATTTCTTGCATCTGAGCGAGTCTTCTTGGATCTGAGCGGGTCTAGTGCATATCCAAGAGATCCGCGCGCACCTCCTGGGGAAACCAACAGGTACTAACACCGCTACACCCCGGACCTCACCTGGGGTGCGGTCTGACCCAGATTTCGAAGCGAATGCAGCGGTGGTGACGACGGAGGCCCAGGAGGCCCCACAAGGGAAAAAACGAGGGGAGGGCAGATGTATGGGTACCTTCTTCCTCCTCGGACCTCCGAAAGTGTACGCGTACGCATCTGATTCAACCATCGTGCTACCACAAGGTCGCCGAAGAAAGAACACCACGGCTTGTGTCCAGCCACGGCCGGCCTCAGCCCGCCACGAACCGTGGTCCCCCCGACCTGCCTGCGGTCCATGCGGGCACGCCCTTGGGCGGTTTGTGCCGATACCGCGTCTTGGGGACCACCGTTGAGTGGTTCGGGATGGGGATGGGGATGCGGTGGGTCCGTGCGCGGACCGCTCAACCTTCCATCGATCGCGGCCCCGATCGTTCAAGGTTGGATTCCGTCGGGTCCAAAGGCGTCACCGTGTCCGTTGGTGCTTCCACTTCCCAGATCTGCTAACCCTGGTCAATCAGACCCGAGTCAGCAGGAAATCGAAAAACTGCAATGTAGGAAAACAAAACTGCAACGCAGGGCCTCGCAAACCCGAGTCAGCCAATATGGGCGGCCGCCTCGCGGCCACGAGCGGCTCGCTAACCCGGGTCAGCCAGAGGGGGTCTTCGCAGGATCCCGAAGGATCTGGTGCCCTGGCTGACCCCCGTTTGCATTCACTCCCGTCTCGACGCATCCGAAATTCAGCCTTGAACGCCTTCGCCAGCTTCGCTGCCGCGCCAACGCCGAATGAAGCTACCATGAACGACAACGGGGGGGGGGCGACACCAATCCTCGATACTGCGGAGCTCTCGGATCGACCAAAGAATGTGAGGCCAGGCCTTAGGATCTACGACGGGGGGGGGCGTCCATCCTCGATCGGGGCGCGTCCGAAGAGCCCCCCTTGGGGTGTCTCCCCGAGCTTCCCCCCCTGTTCTGGGCTGCCCCACTTCTCGGGCGGCGCGCGGGGATTGGGGGCGAGAAATCGCCTGCGAAGCGAAGCCCTGATCCCAGGTTGGTCCCCTGCCTCACTCCTCCACAGTCTCTCTCTCTCCCTCTCTGGCTCACTGTTTTCCATTGGCGCAGTCGCGTGCATGGATAGGTTTGGTTTCCACCACCACCCTCATAAGTTGGGGGGGGGGCAAGGAGGTGGAACACGAGGAGGCGGAGGACGAAGAGGAGGACGAGGAGGAGGAGGAGGACCCCCTCTCCCTCCAACCTATGATGGTGGTGGTGGTGGTGGTGGAAAACAGGCCCATCATGAGTGCCGCACCTGCCGCACCACCCCCGCAGCAATCAAGGGGCACGTGGGCGGGTGATCGCCAGCCTTCGGCCGCCTGAGCTGAAGGGGAACTGGAGCACACAAATAAATACACGCAAACAAAAATATCTCCCATATTTTCCTATATTTTCTGGGTTTTGGTCTTCCCCCTCAATTCCCATATGTTCACATATTTTCTTGGGAATCGAACATTAATTGTGTCTGTGTGTTTATTTTCCTCCTGATGAGCCGCGGGATGGCCGATGACGGACGGACTCGGGGAGAGGCGCAAAAGGGCTGGCCAGAAGCTGCCCTCGCGCTGCTCCTCGGGTGCACGGCCCCCTCCCCCCCGCTTCTCGAGGCGACGTGGGCGGCCCGCCGCCTCCCGCTCGCAGAGTAACGACTCGCACATGGCCTGGATCCGCCGCGGGGGACTCACGGTACGCTACACGGAGGAGGATATTACTCCAGAGGGAAATCCCAATCTGCGGAGATCGATCAGGAGATCGATAAAAAGTGGGATCGATAAAAAGATAAATCGATAAAAAAACGGAATATATAAAAATCCCATTTGAAGTAGGATCGATAAAAGATCGATCAGGAGATCGACCGGGAACCCGAGAACCCGGGAGCTCGGAACCCACTGGCATCTTCCTGGAACCAACGACCAAGAACCCGGGAGCCTGGGAACCTGGGAACCCAGCCGGCCACCAACATCGGCGGGAAACTTTCGCCAAATTTCAATTTCTGCTAGGGCCCCTTCAGTGCAAGCACTGACTGGGGAACAAACAATCACACCATAGAAAAACTCGAATCACAAATGGTTTTCGCTGAGGAGATCGACCGGGAACCCTGGAGCCCGGGAACCCAAAACCCACAAAAATCAGCCCAAAACCAATAACCGGGAACCCGGGAATCGGAACTGGGAACCTGGGAACCCAGACTGCTACCAAAATCGGCGGGAAACGTTCGCCAAATCTTTCAATTTCTGCTAGTACCCCTTCAGTACAAGCAATGATTGGGGAACAGAACAATGACATACACAACAACTTTCGGAGTTCCGCGAGGATTTCTCGGATCGGCGCTGGACCCTCCCTGGCGCGCGGAGCGCGCCAGGCGCGGCGTCGGAAGCGCCGCCCGGAGGGGGCCAACGTCAGTCCACGGAGTCCGCGCGGAGTCCCGAAAGTTTGTCTTTCGGCAATTATTCCCTATATCCTAAGATGGGTTCCCATTATTGCTCAGACGCCTCCGGATCTCTTTCCCCTCACACCTCGCACCCTCTCAATCTCATTTCCTCATACCCAGTCACTGAGACTCGACCCACTCATACTCACACTCAATCGCACTCAGACCCACTCGCACTCAGACTCACTCGTAGACTCGCCCATGCTCAAACCCATTAACACTCGGACTCACTCACACCCAATGCTCACCTCGACACAGCAGGTGTCGCACCTGGGCGCCCCAAGGCGGAGCCGCTGCGGGTAGGGAAGCTCAGGGATGCGTGCCCAGATTGTTGGAACGTCTCGGGCGGTTGGCCTGTTTGCATGCGTAACATTTTCTGCTTTCAGAGCAGCTTGTGAGGACGTCTCAGGCGAGGCGCTAGCTTCAACACTCCCAAGGGGGAGCCACCAGAATGGGCACACTCCAGGATTCGTGCCCAGATTGTGCGGCTGTCTCGGGCGGTTGGCCTGTTTGCATGCGCAACATCCTCTGCTTTCAGAGCAGCTTGTGAGGATGTCTCAGGCGAGGCGCTGGTTTCAGCACTCCCAGGGGGAGCCGCCAGGGTGGGGATACTCCAGGATTCGCGCCCAGATTGTTGGAATGTCTCAGGCGGTTCGCCTGCTGTTACAGGCCCGATCGAGCCCAGACTGCGGCGATGTCTCAACATCGGTTTGCCTCTTTCGGGCCCCGGACCCGCCTTCGTTCAGAACAGATTGCGAGATGTCTCAAGCGGGGCGCTGGCTCCAGCACCCCAAGGGGCCCAGACTGTGGGGATGCCTCAGGCGGTTTGCCTGTGTCGGCGCCAGACACACGTAGCCGAAGCTCACACTCACACTCAGACCACTCACACTCAGACCACCTCACACTCGCACTCAGACCATTCAGACCTCTCACACCCACGCTCGCACTCAGATGCTCTCAGACCGCTCACAATCACACTCAGACCACTCCCACTCGAATGCACTCAGACTTCTCAACGCTCATACCCATGCTCAGACTGCTCCAATTCACTGACACTCATGCGTATCGGCTCACTCACCCTCAGACTCACTCACATTCAGACCCCTTCACAATCATATTCATCCGTTCCCAAACTACCCGACTCAGACCCGTTCGTTTCTAGACTTTCTCGCACGCAGACGCTCGCAGAAGGAACTACGTGGGCAAATCGATGCATCGAACTGCTTGTTCCCCGAAGGAGGGAGTCGACTGGGATGACTGAGGAAAAAACACTTGCACAAGGAGTGCGCCAGCCAGTCAGACGGCCCTGGGGCGGGGGGGGCGCGCAACGGCCCGGGGAGCCAAGCGCGCACGGATCGCTGCCGCCGCCCGCCCCCCCCCCCCCCCAACTGGGGGGGCAACGCTGCGGGGGGGTGACATCGCCCCGCTCAACTGGGGAGCCAACGTGTGGGGGACGTTTCCCCCCCTCAAACAAGGGCTGAGCAACGTCTGGGGACCTGGAGTCGGCGATACATGATCCCTGGGCGAGGGTTCACAGGCCCCCTACCCCTGGATGAGATGAGTCCCAGGGTTCCGCAGGCCCCACCCCTGGGATGGGATGGGGGGGGGGACGACGACGACGACGACGACGACGACGACGACGACGACGACGACGACGACGACGACGACGACACGGACGACGGACGACGGACGACGGACGACGGACGACGGACGACGGACGCCGGACGCCGGACGCCGACGACGACGCCGACGACGACGACGACGACGACGACGACGACGACGACGACGACGACGACGACGACGACGACGACGACGACGGCGACGACGACGGACGACGGACGACGAAGACGACGAGGACGACAAGGACAACGAAAACGACGACGACGACGAGCCATCCAACGACGACGAATCCACAAGGGCAGGGAGGGGGGGTGCAACGGCAGCCTCCACCCACGGGGGGGGGAAGGATCTCATTTCTGAGGCCTTTGCGAGGCTCGCCGGCGTAACCATTCAGCGAGTTTGGGGGAGGGGCGAGGCAACCTTAGATCATACATCGCCACTAGATCGGTGCCATGCCCCTGCGGGCGAATCCGAACGTTCCACGGCGGGGTGGGGCTATCAGGACCCATCTGATAATCTGATGGGCCTGTTTTCCCCCACCACCACCACCATAAGTTGGAGGGAAGAAGGAGGATGAGGAGGACGAGGAGGAGGAGGACGAAGAGGAGGAGGAGGTGGAGGAGGAGGAGGAGGAGGAGGAGGACGAGGTGGCGGAGGAGGAGGAGGACCACCTCCCCCTCCAACATGTGGTGGTGGCACACAGGCCCATCACCATCGGCGATGGCTGGGCGATTGGGGGTCGATGCGTCCCCCGCTCCGCCCCGTCCGCCCCACCCCTCAAAGATGCCGCCCTTCCCACCTGCAGCTCCTGGTTTGCCCTGCGGGGCATCCCTCGGGCCGCCGGCGGCCGCGCGCGGCGAGCCGTGCACCCCCAGACGCCTCCCGGCGAGGCGCAGCCGCTGGCAGGCACCCCGAGGCCGGAACGCCGCCGAGCAACCGACGAGAGCGCCCGAAGCACTCGAGCCGCGGGCCTCCAACTCCGCACCCTTCGAGCTCATCCCGCCCCCCCCCCTGCGCCCATCCCCCCCTCAGCGCTGCCCCTGGCTCGGGGAGACGTAGGACTCGGGTACGGGGGACTTGGGTTGGCCTGACGGGGCCATCATGAAAATGACGAGACCCGATCTGAAATTTGACGCGAACGCCCGCGGCAGACATCCCACGAAACCTGGACCGGCAAAATCCAGGACGCGCGCGCCAAAAGAACTTCAGCAAACCCTATTCAACGAACAATACTTGGGCAGCTGGCTCCCGATCAACTAGCGTCGCCCGCGCGGGGAAGACTCGCGGCCGCTTGCGAAAGGAGGATGAGGATGAGGAAGAGGAGGAGGAACATGAACAGGAGAAGGAGGAGGAAAAGGAGGAGCAGGAGGAAGATGAGCAGGGGGATGGGGGGGAGGGGGACGAGGGGGACGAGGACGAGGACGCGCTGCGTTCCAGCTCACTCGAAGCCTACGCTTCCCCGCCTGGCGACTGGCCCACGCCCCCCGCGCCGCTCGCCTCCGCCTGCATCGACGGCGAGCTGCCGGGCTGGTGGCTCGGGCTCTTCGGGGGGGATCCTGCGCCGCGGGGCGGCCCGACGGGGGGTCACTGGCGGCGCGCAGAGGGGGGTAGGAGGAGGGAGGAAGGCTTATTCTTTGCATGTGAAATTTAGTTTTTCTGTTTTGTCAGAAGCAGGCGGCTTCGAAAGAGGAGGAGGAGAAAAGGGAAAAGGGGGGAGGGAGGAAGGCTTCTCACAAGCAGGCGGCTTCTTAGAGGGCACCCGCTTTGCGTCTACAGAGAAGGCCTGCGCCTTCTGAGAGGCAGGGGTGCTTCCAGGAAGCCCTCCCCCCTCCCCCTACCCCCCTCTGCGAGTGGCCGACGGCCAGCCTGAGGTAGGGCATGTCCTCCTACAGGCAGATTTTGGAAGAACGAATTACCAACACGTGTTCACAAATAGCCAAGCCTACTAGAAACATCGTCCCCAGACAATGTTTTGACAATTTGGGAGTCTTTTGTATGCTTCTTCGGCGGTCTTGGGGCGGTCTTGGGGGCGCCTTCTGCCGTCTTCGAGCACTGAAAGATCGAGAACGCGAGAAAGCGAGAGGGCATCTTCGGGCGCTCCTGGGACATCTCTCGGAGCTCTCTTGAGCCCTCTTGGAAGCCTCTTGGGCTGTGCGTTTGCCGTCCTGAGCTCCTCTTGGGCCACGCCGGGATCATCTGGGCCGTCCAGGAGCGCCTTGGGGCCTCCCGCTCCCGCTCTGGGGCCCATCCTGCGCCTCTCCTGGGATTCCCCTGGGCAGTCTCGGGCTGCTCTTGGGCAATCTTCAGGCTCTCTGGGGCCGTCTTGGGGTTATTTTCAGGGCCTCTTCGGCGGTCGTGGGGCGATCTTCGGGGCGTTTTCGGCCGTCTTGCATCGTTGGAAGCACGAGAACGCGAGAAAGCGAAAAGCATTTAAAAAACTACCAGAACTCAAGGATATGGGCCTCTTCGGGCTCTTTCGGGACGCCTCTCGGAGCGCTTTTGGGGGCCTCTTGGAGGGCTCTTGGGCTGAGTATTGGCCGTGTTGTGCCCATCTTTTTTTTTCACAGCACGAACCGTCTCGGTGCTGAAGCGTGATCAATCCAGGATTCCGCAAACACAGAGCAGACTGGAACAGTGCAAGCGCAATTCCTAGAAGCGGAATTCCCCGAATTCAAAACTCATCTGAATGCGATGACCCGTCGCTGGAACCATCGCCGCGACAAATAATTTCCTCTCCGTTCGGCTTCAGGTTCCGCAAGGCCTGTCGGCGTCGCAGCCCTGCCAGCTCGTCGGACGAGACGTCATAAGTACCTGCCTCCACCTCTGGGACGTTTACGGACTGTTCCTCTAAATATGCCTTGTAGAGCTTACTGCTTCGGAAAAAACATGCCAGATTTTGCAATCTGGTTTACGACGAGATCGCCTAAAGCGAAGATCCCGACAGCAGCTTCTATGTACTGCAAGAGTTTCTGCAAACTGGGGTATCCAAGTTCTCCGGTCACTGTAATCCTCACCGAGATACCCATGTCAATAATTCGGTGTTGCTTTGTTGATTCCCATGGAAGAGACAAATCACTGAAAAATACACACTTATCCGTGTACTCGGGAAACACGCGTACGGATAAACGAACGCGGCCTGGATCACGACGAATTTGAGATACCGGCTTGCCAAATGCTAAATCCCGCAACCACGTCGCGAGGGTGGACCCTGGATTTGTGATGTGAAAGTCGATGCGGATTCCATGGCTCTGCAAATTCAGCAGTTGATTGGGAGGCAGGAGGGTCCGATCCAAAAGATCAGAGACATTCAAATCAATATGATAATTCATATCCCCTGTCAACTGGGTGAAATTGTGTACGGCAACAGATGCGAAATCGCTTTCTGTATTTGTCCCAAGGTCGTAAGTTACGAGCTGCGCGTCAAACCCGCGCGCAGTAGCGCCACTCATGCGAAACGTAGCCTTGAGAATGGCGCGATCTGGCCTTACGTATACTGTCCTACCAATCAGATGCCAAGGAGCAGGTGCCATCCAATCCTCATCGCACGGCGACCTCCAGCACCAGTTCTTCCACCCTTCTTCGATGTCGAGCCTGCCCCGGCCACTGCTGCTGAACTGCAGACTGTCGCTGCCCGAGACGGCTTCTGATGGGTCGTTGCTGGGATCTCGAACCACGCTGATTGACGAAGTTTTGAAAAGAACCTTGTCGGTGTTCAACTGCACTACAGTGGACATGGAGGGGGCATCGAAGCAAGCTGTGCCTCCAATCGATTGCATCAGAAGCTGTACATGCTTTATTTCATATTGGACCATGTGCTGTATCAGATCTTGAAGTTGGTCCCTTCCGAGTTCGGAGCACTGAACGGCCACGATTGTGATGTTCGGATTCTCATCCAGCGCTGTCAGATGTAATGGCTGAGACGTGTAATTCGGCAGGCGCGTGTACTTGTCCCCGCTGTTATACTCCAAATTCCTACTCCAGTGCAGCACTGATCCCTGCAACGTGCCAGTAATATTCCACTGGGCGTCCCCGCCAGCCCACCACTCAACTTCGAGCGTGGCGTTGCTCAGCTGACGCGTTCGATAAGGCCAGCCTCGATTAGACGATACCATCTCTAGCCCACCACCCGTGCGTGTTTCTTGGAGACGGAAGCCCCACTCTTCCCAAGCATCGTCACCATAATAATCGCCAACGAGATGGGGCTCACGAGATTGTTCCCCTTCCAGCCAAATCAGCGTGTCATTGGACTGCGAACACATTACACGGTTCGAATACAAAACATCATCTCTCAATCGAAAACCATTCAATCGATCGTGAACATGGAGCCATATGCACCGCCCCTGCAACTGGCCTTCGACAAAAGGGCGATGTTCCACTACTCGCCCACGGTTGAAAACCAGTCTACACAAGAGGTAAACTCCTCAACTGTTATGTTAACAATGCGAGTCAGTTTAGGCGTGCAACGCAAGTCATTCGCTTTCGCTTTTCCCGAGTGCGATTGCGTCTTGAATACTGGCAATGCCAAGTGCGGTTGGACGAAATCAGCACTATTAACATGCCTTCGTGGAGCTGTGCCCAAAAGCAACTCCATCGCAATGTAGATCGCAAAACCTATTTGCATCACAATACTTAACAAACAAAGCCGTACATCACGGAAGACAACGGCCTTGGTAGTACGGTATGTGCAAACATCCGAGCCACGAACACAATCCAAAAATGCCATGACGTGCTCGCTTGAGCCAACCACTCCTCTTGAGCCAAAATGGCTACGGGCCGTGTTGGGCCCATCTTGGGCCACGTTGGGGCCATCTGGGCCGTCTTGGAGCGCCTCGGTGTCTCCCGCTCCCGCTCTGTGGCCCAACTTGGGCCTGTACTGGGCCTCTCTTGGGCCGTCTGAAGCTCGTCCTGGGCAATTTTCGGGCTCCGTGGGGCCGTCTTAGGAGTCTTTTGTATGCTTATTCGGCGGTCTTGGGGCGGTCTTGGGGGCGTCGTAGGAAGGTCGAAAATGCGAGACACCGAAAAATATAAACACACACATGAAAATCATAGACTTGAGCCTCTTCGGGCTCTCTCGGAACGCCTCTCGAAATTATCTTGAGGCCTCTTGGAGGCCTCTTGGGCTTTGAATTTGCGGTCTTGGGCTATCTGGGCTGTCTTGAAGGGGCTCGTCGAAGCTCCCCCGGGGGCTTCTGGGAGCGTCTTGGAGCTCTCTGTGGCAATCTGGGGGTTCCACGGCCCCTCCTGGGTGCTCTGGGAGCTGTCTCGGAAGCTCTGGTCTCCCCATGCGCGCTTCGGGTCGCGGCCCCAGGCGCCCGAGCCTCTTGCGCGGGTGATATATATATATATATATATATATATATATATATATGTATATATATGTATATATGCATACATATATATATATATATATGTATATATACATATATATGTATACATATATGTGTACTAGAACCAAGCGCGCGCGTCGCGCGCTTAGGTTCTAGTCACTTCCGCGACCACGCTCAACACCGCCAATGCCGCCACGGCTACCACCGCCTTTTCCGCCATCGCCGCGGTCACGACCACTTCCGATTCCATGTCCATTCTGGGCATGACCACCCCATCCACGACGATTGCACTTTCTGCGACCACTATAAAAGCCATTGGTTCAACCACTGCCTGTACCACCACCAATGCCACTACCATTGCCACTGCCACTGCCGCGAATCCACGACAACTATCATCACCACCACGGGTCGCTACACGGTGGGTCCTGGAAGTCCAGCGCATTCCACGGGACTGGTACGTCATCCTGTCCAAGAGATTCGCTAGTGTGACTTGTTCAACGCGGGGTCCCTGGAGTGGGCCCGAAGTCCGAAGACGTTCAATGGTCCCCGTGTTTCGTTGTAAATGTTTGACGGTCCTGGGCCCCTTTCGGGCCTCAGGAAGCGAAGAGTGGTCCGGAAGCTTCGGGAGCGGGAAGAGTACCTGAAGGCGTATGGTCAGCGGGCTGTTCGGGGGCCTCGAGGGAGCTTCTTAAAGGTTTTTTGGGGGCTTCTTGGGGGCGTTTTGGGGACTCTTGCGGCCTCCTTGGGACCTCTGGGGGCGGAGGGATTGAAATGTTCGTAGGGTATCCCCCCCGGGGCCCTGGTTGGGGCCGTCCTGGGTCCCTCTTGGGCCGTCTTGGGGACCTCTTGGGCTAGCCAGGGGCCCTCTTGGGATGTCTTGGAGCCCTCTTGGGCTGTCTGGGAGCGATCCTGGCAGCCTCTCGGGCCGGCTTCGTTCCCCTGGAAGGTCAAGAGGCAAATCCTTGAAAAATGCATGTTTTCCGAGGGGAGCGGGGCCATTTTTGCCTTTTGGGGCCCTCTTGGGTGGACTCTTGGGGCCCTCTCGGGCTGTCTCGGGGGCTCCCGAAAGCCCTCTTGGAGCCATCGTCGGCGTCTTCAAGCTACATTTCAAAGCTCGTGCGCCCTCTTGATCTGTTTGGCGGCCTCTGGCGCCCTCGGGAGCCGTCCCGGGGGCGCCCAAGAGGGCCCAGTAACCCCCATGCGCGCTCGAGGTCGCGGTACTGGGCCCCCGGTCCTTGTCCCCAGTATATATATATATATATATATATATATATATATATATATATATATAATATTAACATACACACATGCAGACGCCTGCGAAGCGCCGCGCGCGGGGGTGGGGGAGCGTTCTCGCGCACCCTCGGAAACCGGCGTGGCGCAATCCATCCGCGCGCGCACCGCGGGTGCGTTCTCGTGCGCCACTGCCTGTGCGCAGATGCGCTCAGCACCTGCGGAGCGGCGCGAGTGGCCGAGACGTGCTCGCGCGCCCCCGCCGCGCCGCGCCATTCCCATGCCCGCGAGCCCGAAAACGGCGTAACCGCTCAAACTGCTTAGGCTGCAAACGCCGCGCCGCCGCCTCCGCATTGTTAGGGGGCCACATGCGAACCCTACCCCTACCCCCCAGGTTTTCTGAGGGGGAGGGTGGGGTTCACTTCGTTCGGGAGCTCCCAAGCGACGTGAACCCCACCCTCCCCCTCAGGAATCGTGGGGGGTAGGGGTAGGGTTCGCAGGTGGCCCCCTAATTGTTCGGCCCTTTGAAGCATGCTTCATGGACGATGAAAGCATGACCGGGGAGAGGGGCCCAGGGGGCCCCTTTGGGGCCCCATCCCTTCTGTTTGCTGGACGAGCAAGAGCAGTGGGGACTGGACGTCCCGGCGAGCACACAACGATTTGATCGGCTACACGTAAGAGTGACCTAGGCAAGAGTGACCTTTGGTGCGCGACATTCGGGGGCCGCGGGGAGGCCGAATCGGGGCGCGCAAGCCGCTGCTATCGCGTCGTTTCGGCCATCTGGGGTCCCCAGTGTCGAGGATGGGCTGAACCCCCTCCTATAGAACGTGGTTTAGTGAAAACGACCTCTGGACAATAACGGCTGCGGCGCCCTCTCGTGAACCGAAAACGGGCAAATCACGAATCGACGTGTCATGGTGGGGGGTCTGTCCACCCCCCACAGTGTGCCCGCACCAAACGTCACTTCGGCGAAAGGTCACTCTTGCGTATAGCAGACTTGACTCATGCAAGAGCTACAGATTCTGCGGCCAGCGCGCAAACCACACTACTATCTGGTGCCGCGCACGAGGGGGGCAGGGGGACGGGGCAAGGCCCCTTCGAAGGAGACTCCTGCTTAGATGGCGCCGGCGGAAAATTCAAAAATAGTCAGAAAATAGTCTGGGGGCGATGTTTTGATCATTTATGTTTGTTTTGTTTGCGCATGATTTGCATATTTTTCCCATCCGGAAATCCGGCTGTAGGGGGACATGCCCGACCTAACCCTACATCTACAGAGAAAGCCCGCGCCTTTCAAGAGGCAGGGGTGCACTCTGAGAAGCCTCCCCCCCTCCCCCTGCCCACCCCCCTCTGCTCGTGGCTGATTGAGGGCCACTTCCTCCAATCCTCGACGCCACCATTTGTCGCCCCCCCCCCACTACCTCGCCATCGCTCGGGTGTCCACTCCTCGCGCACTCGTCGATGGCGTGCGTGTATATCTCGCCTGATCCCAGGGGCTCCTCGACGGTCCTCGCCGAAGAAACCACGCACACGCCCGATCGATGCCAAGCCCTACTACGACACGCCCGCGAAGGCCGAGGGGAGCGCGCAGCGCCGGGCGGTCCTCCGCCAGCAGGTGACACCGGAGGCGTTGCCTCGCGGCGCGCAGGTTGCCTCGCTCCTCCTCTCTGCTTCTGCCTCCTTCCCCCGTCTTCCCTCCTCCTTCTTCTCCTCCTCCTGCTCCTGTTGCCCCTGCTTCTCGTCCTTCTCCTCCTCCTCCTCCTCCTCCTCCTCCTCCTCCTCCTCCTCTTCCTTCTAGTTATCCTCCTGCTCCTCTTCCTCCTCCTCCTTTTCCTCCTCCTCCTCCTCCTCCTCCTCCTCCTCCTCCTCCCCTTTCTCCTCCTCCTCCTTCTCCCCCTCCTCCTCCTCCTCCTGCTCCTCCTCCTGCTCCTCCTCCCCTTCCTCCTCCTCCTCTTCCTTGTCCTCGAGCCAGGCTCGGAGCCTCCTTTATGAAAAACTCCTCCCTGTCGCACCCGCATTCGTGTCAGTAAGGCGGGCTCGGAAATTCGTTGGTGACCTCCTCACCATCCGCGAGCCGGAGGCTATAAGCTTGCAACACGTGCATGGATGGAGGGCGGGCCACTTTCAAATTGTGTACTCGCCATAGCGCCGCGCACATTTGCGTAACAAGTTGGAACAACTTCAGAAAATGGAGGGCGGATCGTTTCCAACATGTGGCTATTGCCACTGCGACGGGCACATTCGTCTTTAAAGGTCTAAACAAGTGCAAGGAAGCGAAGTACCAGGAATGGTGTTCTGGCGCGGTTCTGGACTGTCAGACGGTAACAATAACGTTGATTCGAGGTGTTGAAATCACAATCACAAGAATTGCACTCAGGCAAGATTCAAGACTGTCAGGACGCAACTGTCACGGTGATCCGTGGCTTTCGAGTCCCAGGATTGGGGATTCACACACGTTTCCCAATGGGCCACGTCCAGCAATGAAAGCATCGTTGCTGCATGCTGGGTTTGCACCTGTCCTCCTCTTCCTTCTTTCCGCCGCCCTGCGCCGCCCCCCGTCATACCCAGGCTCCCCTCCCCTTGGAGCCTACTGGCCTCTGGCTGGCGTCCCTGGGCCCTCCCTGGAGCCTGGGGCTGCGGAGGAGGGCCCACCCGAGGTCGTCTCTGAGGTCTTGTGGGGAGCCCGGGGGGGCTTGGAATTGCGAAGGGCATAAGCTGTGGTGGGCAGGAGTCAGGGAGGGTCGCGAGCCGAAGCTCACTGGCTCGCTCTTACTCTGCTCGTCGTGTAGGATATTTGGCAAAACTGATGGATCTCCCCGTTTTCCAGGACTGGCGCGGGCTTCTCCCTTGGTCCCCTCGCTCCTGCCCTTGCCTCTTGCTTGCCCTCTGTCCCCTTCTTACCACCGCCATTCGGCGGCTCAAGCCTTTTGAGGCCAAGCTGGGGGTCGGCCTCAGTTGGCCTAAGGCCGGGCCCGAGAGGGCCAGAAGACTTCCAGGTCCTGGTTCCAGGCCTGGCAGGGGCGCCCGCGGCCGCATGATGCCGCGCCTGGCGTCGCGCGGCTGGGGGGCGGCAGCGACGCTGCCCGCGGGCGCGCAGCTGCGCAGCGGCGGGGGGCCCAGGCGCCAAGCGGCGCCGGCTCACGCCAGCCGCGGAGCACCAGGAAGCGAGGCAGGGGCCGCCGAGGCGGAGCCGCCGAGCCCCCCCGCCATGCCGGCGACCAGGCGCGAGCCCGCGCCGGCGCCGGCACGGTGCCAGGCGAAGGCGGCAGAGCGCGCGCGCGCGCCGGGGCCTGCCTGGAGGAACCACCCCAAGGCCCCGGCGCCGCCGCCTGCCGGCGGGCGCTGCGGGCGAGTGGCGGTCCTGCTGATGTGCCTCGTGGTCGCGGCCGAGGCCGCCAACGTCGACCACGGGGCCGAGTCCGCGTACTACGACGACATGTCGGACGTGGACATGCGGGCGTTCTGGCTCGACGGCACGCTGGCCCCCGCCTCCGTGGACCCGCCGCCGATCGGAGCGCACCCAGCTGACGAGCATGCAGCTCCCGCGGGGGGTGCCGGAGGAGGTCCGCCGCGCGAGCGCTCCGCGCCGCCGGCCGATCCACCTCCCCGAGGCCCAACCCGTGCTCCCCCCGACCCCCCCGACTCGGACCCGTCGTCCTGGATCAGGGGTTGGGGTCTCTTTGGCACCCGCTGGAGGGACATCGGCAACCGCACACATTGGTTCGCCGAAGGGATGGGGGGAGGTACCATTCGGGCTGTGGGGAGTTCCAGGTCCGCCTTCTCGACTCGCGAAGCAGGAGGCTGGCTGAGCTCCGACGGCGGCTGGGTGCTGTACATGGCCGACCAGGTGGGCCTCTACCTGTTCGGCTCCGCGTGGCCGCTGATCGCCGGGCTCGTGGCGGTCCTCTCCGGCACTGGCGTGGTCGCGCTCCTGGCCCACAGCCTGAGGACGCTCTTCGCACCCTGCAGCTGGGCGGCCTGGACCTGCGGCCTGGTGCTGGCATGCTGTCCCTGCCCGAGGCGCAAGACGCCTGGCGAGGCTAAGCTTGACAAGCTGGTCCCGCCGGCGGCGCCGCCCCTCACCGACGCGGCGTGGCACGGTCCAGCTGTGGGTGCCGACCCGACGACCGACTGGTACCGCAAGGGCATCAAGGAGGGCCGGGGCTCCAAGCGCGGCCAGAATGACCTCATGATCAGGGTTGACTACAGGGTCGCCCGGCTCAAGCTCAACATGAAGTCCCCAGAGCGCATCAATCGCCAAGGATTGTGGGTTGAGTATGACTCTGTGAAGGGTGCCAGCGACAAGGGTTTCAGGCGCGAGCTGGAGCAACGAGATCCCCGCTGGCTTCACCTGTGCCGTTCCACCAGCTGTACCGGGTGCAAGGGGCGCGAGAGCGAGCTGCACTGCAAGGAGTACGCCGCTCTTGACAACGAAGCCATCGTGGACCTCGGTGATTATTCGAGGTTCACACCTTGTCGAATTTTCGTTTGGCTCTGGAGGTGGTTGGGCCTCGTCTACAAGCTGCTGCTGTACGTCCTCTCGTGGCTCTCGCGTTGCGGGGCGTGCCTCTGCCGCCGGCGACGCCGCCGTCACAGGACTGGCGACGCGGAGCCCGGCGTGCAGGGGTCGGTGGCAAGGTTGCTTGACCAGGAGTCCGAGTCCGAGGTGGACGCCGAGGACAACCCCTGCGAGGCGGCGAAGGTGGGGCTCATGATCAAGGGCAAGATGCGCCCACTAGCGCCCGAAAGCTGTCGGGGCGCCGCGCGCGGTGACCCTGCCGTGTTGTTGGTGGAAGATGGCCGGGCTTCGGACTTCCGAGCGAAGGGAGTGCGACGGCCTGCCTTTGCGAGTATCGCAGGCAGATCTACATGGTCCTGCGCTACGGCGAGAAGTGCTCTCAGGTGACGTGCTTCCGCGAGGCGGTGGGCATGGCTTCAGGGGTCCCACTCTGCCTGCAGCGCCTTGGGGGCGATGCTGCTCGAGCGCTCCACGACAACCCCACGGGAGTCGGGTTCTTCGCGGGACTGCGGCGCCGTGCTCGGCGGAGCCCGGCTCCGCGGAGCCGCACGCCAGAGCGTGCAGCCGCCGCTCCAGCCTGGACTTGCACACCAGAGCGCTCCGCCCCGACGACCTCTGCTCCAGAAGCGCCCACCAGCCCTGGCGACCCCGTCCCGGCGCCGGCTGGGCCACCGAGCGCGCGTTTCGAAGCGCCGCCGGTTCCAGAGTTCCCCAAGCCGCCTACTCCGCCACCCATGCCCCTCGGGCGACACTTCATCGTACGGGCGAAGGTACATTGGCCAGAGGGAGCGCAGTATATGATTTTCAGAGGAAGGGCGGTTGATGCCGCCGCGGCCAGCGCAGTGGCTGAATACCTCGACGGCGCGTTGGCCCTCGAAGTGGAAGACCCGACCGGCACCGCCATCCGCTTTCTCGTGAAGCCTGACGGCGTCATCCGTGCACCGTCCCCGGGACCTTCCGGGCGTCTGCCAGCGGGGTTCATCGAGGAGATGCTCCACCACGCGCCTTTGGGATGTGAGGAGCTCGGCATCAGCGTCTCGGCGACCAACGTACCCGAGAAAGTCTGGCACAAGCTGGCGGCGTGGCACGGTCTCCCCGTAGGCGGGCGAGCTGGGCCACTCAGCGAGGCTCGCTGGCGGCTGCTCCGGGAGAAGGTGGTCAACCTAGTCAGGTGGCACCCCGAGGGAGGTGTGGCGCCCAGCCCGAGCTTCGAAGCACGAGCTACAGAGGCAGACGCCAAGCTGCGCAGCCACTGGCAGCGGCTCGATCGCAGCAGCTCGCCCAGACCACCCTCTGGGTCCACGCGTCGTGGCTCTCGCTCCCCGTCAGCCGAGGGCGGGCGGGCAGCGAGCTCCGAAGCACCCGCATCAGGAGAGAGCCATCAAGGAGACGAGGGCGGGGACATGATGGCCTGCTACTTGGAGGAGAAGGCCCGCGGGTCGAGCGACGCAGCGGCGGTGCAGAGTGTGGCAGCCGGCTTCGACGAGGAAGCCCAGCAGGTGCTCGCCAGCCTCATCCGCTACGCCCAGTACCTCAAGCAGCAGACGACCGAGCCAGAGGAGCTCGCGCGGCTCGATGGGCACATCGGCAGTTGGGAGGTGCTCCAGCAAGTGCCCTCGCGACCGCAGACCCCAGAGGCGGCGCATAGTAGCCTCCAGGGTCTCCTCAAGCTCCCGCCCGAGCGCCACCGCTCGCAGGGGCCGCCGGCCACCCAGGCCGGCAGCGTGCCCCTGTTCGAAGCGCGTCCGCCCCTCTCGCCAGCTGCCGCCCCGCCAGCTTCCACTCTCGGACCACGGGACGCCGGTCTCAGCCACCACGGCTGGGCTGGCCCCGGTCGTCCGCCCACAGGCCCCGAACATCGGGGCCCTGTTCCGCTACGACCAGCACATCAGTGACTTGGGCCTACCCCCAGGTCTGACCACAGCGCCAGCGCGCTACGCCGCTGGAGCCCCGGAGGAAGGCGGGGGCGCTGACCCGCTCGGCCTCACGCAGCCCGGAGCAACACTGGACGCGAACACCGCGAGGATGCTCCACGCCTTGGAAGGGGTTGCCAGTGCCCGGCAGGGTGACAAGGCAGCCCAGCGAGGGACAGTGGCGGCACTGGGTAGAGCCGAGGA